TTCAGTTCAGAATTTATGCTGAAAGTTAATGAAGTCTCTGCAATTCCATTCTTATACCGGGTTCCTGAATAGGACTACAAAACTATTTCATGTGTGATTATTTAAAAGTTATGATTTATCAAAGGAATTATTTCTACACAAATGGTTTCTTGAAAATAAAACAGTATTTATTCCCATGCTAAAGTTTAGATGAGTATTTTAATCTATAAATTATCTCTCTAGGTAATGCTTGAAAATGACCTGTTGTTTCTTTCATATTGCACAATATCTTCTCAAATAGAGTGAGCAAACAAAAAACCTGAGTGTTTATATATCTGTTTTTGTTGTTGCTTCTTTCAGAACCACCCACTCCTATTGCTCCTCCAGAACTTCTAGCAGTTGGAGCCACATACCTATGGATCAAGCCAAATGCCAACTCCATCATTGGAGATGGGCCTATCATCTTGAAAGAGGTAGAATACCGTACAACCAATGGGAATTGGGCTGAAACCCACATTGTTGATTCTCCCAATTACAAATTATGGCATCTTGACCCTGATGTGGAATATGAGATCAGAGTGCTTCTTACCCGTCCTGGAGAAGGAGGAACTGGACCTCCTGGGCCTCCACTCACAACAAGAACAAAATGTGCTGGTAAGCCACCATCCTTTATGAATGCCATACAAAACATAAGAGCTATTTGGAGGGAGGGATGGAGAGATATTGATATCCTGTCTGTTTTTCTACTTTCTTTTTCTTTAATTGTCCAGTTATTGTCCAATTGTGCATAATTTTCCAGTTATTTGGGAAATATGGATTTCATGTTCTCTATTGTGCCATAGGCTATATCGTATTCTTTAAGTTCTGGGTAGCTCATAATACAAAAACAAAGCAATATTTTAGATGAAGGTACTTTCTGATTCAGTTCTATTTATTTTATCTTCCTAAAGCACTGTTCTGAAAAAGAAAAAAAGAAAGAAGTGTGAATTTGTTACTGAAAACAGCCTGGTCTTTTCTGCCTTGCACATAATAAATTAAGTCTTAAGCATTAAGCAATTGCATTTCTAAAAGATTTAATTTTCTCAGTGCAAAATTAATATTAATAAATCCACTTTAATAATAGCAGAGTGAAAACATGCATCCTATCTCTGTTTATCTGTGTTGACTATTTAACTAAGTAGTGTTTCATATTTCCTGATTAAAATCCCTGCACTCAGTGAGTTGTTTTAGGCAACAAAGTGTACCCAAAACACTTTATGATACACTAAAAGGATCAGAGCTTCTATCAGTCAGCTAAAATAGCACATGCAGTTCAAAAAGTATCCCTTTTTCAATAAGAAAGGATATAGTGGTTTTATATATAGTCCTGGTAATCATCCTGCCTCTGATCCAGGTGAAGTTGATTAAAAGAAGAAGAAGAAGAACACTTCTAGTTAGTAAAAAGTTTGAGAAGTTAAGCATGCCTCAAATGTGAGATCCATTACTTGCACTTTGCACACTGATTTTTAGTTATATGAATGGGGAAAGCCTCTGCCAATAGCTGCATCTACTATTTTTTCTCCTCCTGACAAAAATGTCCGTTCATTCAAAGTTTAAGCTTTTCATTAGTGGTATATAAAGCTCTAAATGTCTTTGGTCTAGGATATCTAATAGATCACCTTCCTATTACAAGCCTGTAGGTGGCCACACTTTGGACCCCATATTTCTCTTGGAGCAGATGTGTAGTGGTATGGATATGGAGGGAATTCCCACTTCCTCATTGCCCTGGCCAGATCACTTCCTGGTCCAGATGAGATTGACAGTCACAATACATTCCTGTAGGGTGAACAGGCCAATTAAGATGGTCCACCCCAGGTACTTTATGGATGCAGATTGTTTCCAGTGGGTCCTTTGTTGATGAGATTGCTTGGGGTTCTTTTTGACTATGGAGCCTGAGGAAGTGGATAGTGTGATTTCCTGGCTGTTTCTGGCAACCTGTAGGCTTGATCCACACACCTCCTGGCTCCCTAAGCAGTCTGATGGGGCTGTGGCAAATGGGATCTGGGATGTGTTTAATGCCTCTCTTTGGAAAGGGGTAAGGCCAAAAGCCTGCCTTCCCTGGAGCCATGTGTTTTTGATATCTACCATCTGGTCTGTAATCTTCCACTCCAGGAGAAGGTTATTGAATTGAGCTCACTGTATAGCTACAAAGCACTCTGGAGGAAGCAGATTGCCTAGCCTCTTTCCAGTCAGGGTTCAGACTTGTCATTGAATGGAGATGTCCTTGGTTGTCCTTGTGGATGACCTGTGTCATGATTTAGAGGAGGACAGTGAAACCCTCTTAATCCTTTTAGTCCTCTCTACAACCTTTGAAACCACTGACCATGATATCCTTCCAGACTGCCTGTAGGAGCTGAGATTAGAATTGTTCTGCTCCTCCCTCAGCAGATGGTTCTCATTTGGGGGCAGGGTTAGGGATAGGGAGAGATTGTCCAAGTAGCTGCTCTCTTGTGGAGTGCCATAGGGTTAGGTCATTTCTCCTCTGCATTCTAACATCTACACAAAACCAATGGAGATGTCATACATTGGTTGGATTACAATATTAGCACTATGCTGATGACAATTTGATTGTCCATTGCTACCCCAGGCTATACAAGAGAGACTGTCAATGTCTTATCCCAGGGTCTAGAAGCTCTGAGAGTTTTAACAGGACAAAACAGGCTGAAGTTGAACCTAAGTGAGACAGAGTTGCTTTTTATAGATTTTCTGATGTATCCAGTGTTCTCTCTTGATGGGGTGGTATTCCCTCTGAAAGAGCAAGTCCATGACTGGGGATCCTCCTAGAAAATAGCTACTGATAGATAGGCAGAGAAAGGCCATAGCCAGCTTGCATTTGCTCAGTTTCATCTGGTACACCAGTTGTGACCCTCCCAAAGTCCAAGGAACTTGCAATGGTAATTCATGTTCTCTGCACACCCATCTGGTCTATTGCAGTGCATTCTACATGGGGTTGCCTTTGAGGACCACCCAGAAGCTTCCATTAACTAGAATGTAATGGCTAAGTGCTGGCTGATAGACACCAGCCTGAGCACATAATATCTGTGCTCCAGGCTCTGTACCAGCTCCTTATTTGCTCCTAAGTGTAAGTCAAATTGCTGTTTTATGGGGTTTGGCACTGAGTTAATGGAGGATCACCTTCTCCAACTGGTCTTGACTTGCCCAACTCCATCCCAGGAGAATCTGTTTGATATGCCATGAATGTTGATTGGCTTCTTATGATCACTCATAAGAAGACCAGTTCTTGGGGGTCATGCCTGCTCTTTGGAAAGCTCTCTTCCCAGTAATTGAGGAACACCTATGATACATTGTCCATATTTTCAACTTCATCTTTCCTGTGTGAGTAGTAGAGACAGGTTTTTATTTCCTATCCATTTTTAATGTACCAATATTACAGTAACTGTTTTAATTTAATGTTGCTTTATTCTTGTTTTTGAATTTGATTACAAACTCCTTTGAGATATTTTATGGGAGGCAGTACATAAATGTTTTAATATCTATAAATAAAAATCAGCTGATAGGGAAAGCTTCCCCTGGTATCAGGAGAAGCTTTTTTCTTTTCTGAAGCTTTATTCCTGCATGGGAAAGGGCAATGTAAGAACATTTTGTAGATAAATAAATATAAGTCTGCCCCATTTAGAGACAAGGATATTTTAGGGAACCTACCCCGGCCAATCCCTGCTCCAAAAATTCCAGTCCAGATGAAGAAATGGAATTGGACTACAGCTGTCATTATCTCTTACAATTGGCCAAGTTGGCTGGGGCAAGTAGGTAGGTGGGTATCTGAATTCTTAATCTCTGTTGTAATGACATAGTGGGAAGAAAGAATGGGAAGGTATAATGCAGCCAGCAATCAGCTGCTGTAACACTGAAATGAAAAGTGAAGCAAATGGGGAAAAGCTAATCATTTAAGCAGTTCCCCTTGTTATTGCTCTTGTAAGCTCCATCTCTATTTTAAGGGCTGAAAAATATCTTCTGAAATGGCACCAAAATGGCTGCCTTTCATACATTCAATTGTGTCATGTTGGTGGCCTTGAAATAATGTTCTGAGCTTCCTTTTTTTTCCTCCCATCTTGGTAAATAAATTAAAAAAACAAAACAAAACTGTACCATCCTCACCAATCATAAGATAACTTTTATACAGGAAAGAATTGTTCTAGTTGCTACAGGTGGCATAAGCAATGAGAAATATGGATACTAACATCCCAACCAGCTCATTATTGGTGATCATCATGCCTGTACCATCTCCTGTTTAACCTTTAAAAATCTGTGCCTCTGTCATATTACAGCCTGCAACCAAAATTGGTTTTGTAAAAAATTGTTTTAAGTAACTCTAGTTGTAAAACAGGATGTTTCTGAAAAATCAAAATTTCTGATAATTATAGGTTGTTTGTTATAATAAGATATACTTGAGGCTCAGCCTTGGTTTTCAGCTACAGCTCAGAGTTTTTAATACAGACGTCAGTACTCATGAGAGGTTGCCATGTAACCAAAGAATTCTTTAATATGATGTTCTACATCTGCTGTGCTCCATGCAACTTCCATATTAGTGTCTGTCCCTGTTCTCTGTAGATGTTAAAGTAGCCTTGGGGCTATTTCCCAGCATTTAAATTGTGCCAAGTTCCAAATAAGAAGGAAATCCATGATTGAACATCTGGTTTCCTGTGAAGGAAAGTATTTATGAGAACATTAACGAAGAAAAATTACATGGATTTCAAGTTGCATGCTGACTGTTCACTAAATAAAAAGTGAAGTTGCACGTTTATACTTGCTGTGTTTCCTGATTACTGTGACATCCATCTAGATTTTAGCTCTCTGGGCTAATTGTTTTCCCTACCACACTCTTCCAGTCAAAAAGATATGAGAAGAATTTCAGGAAACTGTTTTAATAGGACTGCTTTTACCATTTGGCACCTTGAAATAGCAGAGTTTGAATGTCACAAAAGAATAATAAATTGTTAGCTGCTTACTATATACCTTGGCATGAATAGTGTCACTTTCTCTTCTGCTTCAGGTACCAAAATATTTTGAACTGGTTCTGAACTTTCAGCATCCCAGTTTTCTATCAGAGAATAGCATGTTTTATTCCTGTTCCTTGACATGGTGGGGAAGGTACAATACATTATAAACATTGCAACGTGTTTTTACTGTCCCTAGAAGTTCCAGATTTCTTCATATCAAAGAATTGTATCAGGAATAGCTTAATGTGAGTTAGAGAAATTGTGACATAACAGTTTGTGATGGTTGGAATACTTAATCATAAAGTGGATGCATTCTTTCAGAACTCTACAAAAGCTTTTGGTTTATGAATGGGAGTAAGAGTTCAGAGTGAATATTGATTATGAAAATTACTGCTTTACAAAAATGGTATTTTATATTAAACAGGATAGCAATGTGGATTTTTATTTATTTATTGTTAAAGTATAACTAAAGTATTAATGATAATGTTTTGGTGAGGCACACTTTTCTGGGTCCTTTGATGTTTACAGATTATAGTCAAAGAAACCTGCTGTTTGATTATTGTGAAAATTGCATTCTTGGTAACAAAAAGCATTTGTGAGATAGAAAACAATGTTGCCATTGGCAGGGCAGATTGAAGAAAGCCTTTTGTGGAGAAG